AAACCAATCAGGTAACATTCAGTGGCCTCTCGGAACAAGCCAGGAAAAGACGACCTTTTTTTCCCCTTTCGTCTTTGATGGCGCGAGACAGCAAGAAATGAGAAGGTAATAAGAGCAAGAGGGGGGGTTGGACATCTGATGGCTGCAGCTCGATGTGTCAGTTTTCTTGTCACGCTGAGTGTTTGTTCACTCACTCAGAGTGCACACCAGCTGCGGGTGCGAGCGCACTCACACAGACAGAAGATACCTCTTGTTTACGCATCTCCGAAGAGAGAGACTGGGTGTTGTTTGAACCCTCGAAGACGGGCTTTTAACCTGATATAGACGCAACACAGCTACACCCCTGTGCACAAAAATAGATCCACCTCAGGACAGGTTTTCATGTTCTCCGAGCTGTTGACCTGTGATACAGAAAGAAAGGCATGATGGATGTATTCCCTGCACAATCAGATCCTATTCACACTGATCTGTTTATTAAGACAAGACCTGGACAGACTGCAGGGGGAACTCAAGAACTCGGTGAGAGAGAGGAGAAAGGATGATGGGGGAGGAAAGGGAGAGGGAAAGAGGCAGTATGTAGTCACATATACGGGTTTGTCAGAGTTGCAGCAGATGGCTAGCTGTGGAGCTGAGTCAAAGGATGATGTAGTAATTGCCTTTCACATGAAGGATCTGAGTTTAAACAGATGTTGTGGCAAGCATTCACACTGCCAAAGTGTCCCTGAACGAGATCCTGAAATCCCACGAGCTTCACTAACCACTGGTCTTCTGCTCAGCCTCTCTCTCAACTTCTCATGCAAACATTTGCAGACCACACGAGCAAAAAAAAATGCATTGATGGAAAAAAAATATTTGGAAAGGTTTGAGCGAACAGTGCTGTTCCTCACTCTTGGACAGATGATTGGACAGAGACCAGATGCTTTGAATATGTAAAACAATACAGTGTATGCGGTATAATGTACAAGAAGGATAGAAAGATTTAAAGTATTGATTGGTTTTTTATTCTCTGCAGCTTTTTTACAGTAGGGATAAGCACTTGAATGTGACACAGATGTCTATGCTGTAAAAAAAAGAAAGGATATAAAGTTATCTGCTCCACTTTGATATCAAGATTCCCCTCCATCCCTCCATCTCTCAGGTGCTTCTTCACATCTATTTCCAGCTCAACTGTCAATCCAACTGACTCTAAGACTCAAATCTGCTGTCTCTCTTTACACCGTCAAACAGTAATAGCCTGGGAGGTGTGTGTGTGTGAGAGAGAGTGACAGTGTGTGATTCTGCAAGGAGGACCAGGCCTGTGCTCCACTGATGTACTTGCTTTCTTTCCCCTTGCACAACTCCCATAACCAGGAAATGCAGAGGACAACATGATTTTTTGTGTTTATTTATTAGATTCAGTGTTTGTGCGCGTGTTTACAATATTTGCATATTTCTGTCCCTACACTGGTCACCGTGCACAGGAGCGGGGCTAGATCATTGTCCTCTAAATTCGTACACATCTCATGCAGCCACAACCAACTGCATCTGATAATTAATTTGTGTGTTGTAATGCTAATCTTGTCTCCTCTGCAGGTATGATATTTAGAGCAGCGGTCCCCAACCCCCGGGCCTCGGACCGGTACCGGTCCGTGAGTCGTTTGGTACCAGGCCACGAGAGTTGAGGCTCAGGT